GCCCCCCGCCTCCCCCGCCGGGCCAGGACAATGCCCTGAGTGACTATTTTAGGTTGTCGGTCAGGTCACGTCGCTCTCAGCTCGGGATGTTGCAAAAGCTTCTCGCCCTTCGGGCCTGTTATTTCTCCGACCTTCTCTCCCACTGGCGAGGCTGCGTCAGCCGCACTGGCTGCAGAGCGCCATGCAGCCGGCTGTCACCTCGGGGCTTCGGCCCTGCTATTCCGTGTCCCTGCTCTCCCTCCTGATTTCCATCTGGCTTGGTCCCTCATCCCTCTGGTCTCTGCTCAAAGGTCACCTTATCGGAAAGGCCTTCCGAGACCACACCCCGACCTGCCACCGAAAAACAGAACCCTCGGCCTCTGTCCACGTTTCATTTTTCTTCGTGGCCCTTCTTAGCATCTGACATAGTACGTGTTAACTTTTTAAAAAATCCCTCTCTACCTATGAAGAAAATGCCATAAAAAGAGGAATTTTGTCCTCTTAGTGAGCTGAGTAGTTTTTAGCATAAAGCTGGCACTCCATATAAATTTGGTAACTGACCGAATGAATGTATGAAGTCCCCAGTGCCCAGGAGGTATTCGAGAAATGCCAGCTTTTTTCCTCTTCACGGAGAAAAGGAAATGCCACCGTCCCCGTCAAAGAAGGGCCAATAATGGAAATCGAATCCGAAAGAGAAAATAGTGACATTAGCGCCACAAGGAGGGGACAGCCAACTATCACACACACACGGATCAGGACTGGGAAGAGGCTGTCGGGCTTGTGTGACGGACGGCACTGTGTCCCCCCGGGATGCGTATGTCGAAATCCTGACCCCAACGCGATTCTACTTGGAGATGGGCCTTTCGGAGGTAATTTTTTTTAAGGTTAAATGAGGTCACACAGGTAGGATCGGAATCCAACAGAATTCGTCGAGTGCCCTCACAGGAAGAGACACCACAGGCGGTCACCCCGTAGGTTATGTAAATTTGTCTAATCGCTATGTTGTACACCTGAAATGAATGTAATACTGCACGTCACCTGTAACTGAAAAATTTTTAAAAAGAGAGACATCAGAGTACTTTGTGGGGCTCATGCGCTTACTCCTTTCCTTCCTTCCTCCTCCCATCGGCCATGTAAAGACACAGCCTCCACCTGCAAGTCGGGTGACAGCTGTCGCCAGAAACCTGCACCTTGATCTCGGACTTCGCAGCCTCCAAAACAGAGAAATCGACTTCTGCTGTTTCGGCTCTCAGTCCGGTATTTCTGTTGGGGCAGCCCCAGCAGACGAACACTTAGATATCGAAAACTGTTGTAAAACTTAGGGTTAGGTCCGTCACAGATCTGGAACTCAGAATTTTTCCACTTTTCACTTGTACGGTCACACGTTACAGTTGCAGAGTCTAAGAAAAACTATGTGGCAAAACCCCAATCACAGAGTGAGCCATTTAAATAAAAAGAATCACCTACATACTGCTTGAAGAGTATTCGTGGGGGAAAAAAATCTATTTCTCCCAGTTTTATTGCGATATGATTGACACACATCACCGTGTAAGTTTAAGGCATACGCTGTAACGGTTTGACTTAGGAAGATTGTGAAATGATCATTGCAATGTTTGGTTAGCATTCCTCATCCCACACACACTTTCCAAAGACAAAATATTTTTCCTCGTGGTCAGAACCCTTAGAATCTACCGTAAGGACTTCTCTACATGGCATGCGGTCGTTTTAACTAGTCGCCATGCCGGACACTACATCTCTGGCACATGTTTATCTTGTAACTGAAGTTTGTACCTTCTGCCCACCTCTCTCTTACCTCCCTGCCTGCCAGTGTGAAGAGCACAAATCTGGTCTTTTTTTCCCTAAGGGTTTGCTTTTTGTTTTAATTCATCTCGTGCAGACAAACCACGAACTAGTCATAATTTTCTTTCAAATGTACGGACACGATAGTGTTCTTTCTATAACACGGTGGACTTAACATTTTAAAATACAATTGACGTTCCTGAGTGAAACGGAATCGTGTGCCACGCGAACAAGTTAACCAGAAAGACGGGGACGGTTCTGAACGCGGGATAAATGATTTTCAGAAAGAAAGCAGCCTTTTGAATGTGTTTAAATGTTTTAAATATCGCCATTGGCGACGCTTGTCACTATGATTGTGATTTACATGGCCGCGCTGGAGCTTCCTTGCGACGTCAGTTATAAAATAGGATTTCAATCTTCAGCGCACAATGAGGATCTAGTTTCAATAAACGGATTCACCAAAATGTGACATCGCTCGCGCCCTCCCACCAAAGAAAGGTGTCAAGGGCTCGGGGCGCCCGGCGCTGCAGGTGCAGAGATCCGTCCGTTCTCCACAACGAACGGGCGGATTTCTCGGTCCGGCCCCGGCTTTGCACCGTGTCGCGCCGTCTGCCGCTCGCTGGCACGTGGCGGGCGAGGACGAGCACGAAGAGGCAGCAAGGTG